TCAACTAATTAGTACTTCTCACTGAAATCCTCGATGCTAACCACTAATAAACACATAATCGTCATCATCATAGGATTAAGAATATTGTTGAGTTTCATTAAAGATAGATCCATGTCTGATGTGATTAATTTTACACAAATAAATTGGTGCGCATCCACAACTCCTGCTACTCACAGGATTCAAACCCAGCGCCTTTGTCCATGTGCATGAACACCTAATCTCTGGACCATTGAGATGTCATTCAACGGTGTTAATGTCTAACTTCAATTAGTCCAAGGTATTACACAACCTTACCCATCGCCTTCTGTAGTTACTGCCTACTACACCCAACACAGTTGAACTCCACTGGTCACGTCTTCTCACTAGAACTCCGAGAATTTCCTCATGAAGTTAGTGAGAACTAGTGAGCACAAATTTTTTGATTTTGCTTTATAGTATTATGAAGATGGTAGTTCTACCTTGAAACCATGAATGAATCATTGTTAGACAACCACCATTAGAAACCTGGAAACACTGGACGGCCGTTTCGTCCTGGTATAGGAATCCTGTAAGTGACACGGCTCTTGTTATTCGAAAATGGGAGAATTTCGCCAAAAGGCATGCTTCCACTCGAGAACAACTATATTTTCTCTATGAATGTCTTCGTCAGCATGTTCTGCCAACAAGTGTCAGATATCGAGGTTAACAGAACAAGCTACAGCTGGTCAAACGTGAAGAAATTCTAATGCTTCACTTCTGCTATCTGAAGTTTGTACTGATGATGATGTTCAGAAGAAGAACAATGATGAAAGCTCCACACAACCAAAACACCCAGCTCAGAGAACCAAACACCACCACCACCACAATCATCCACCTGAGCTACAAATCTTCTCCACCATCTCAGAATCCTGCAAGTCGCAGTAGTCATGGATGTTCACTGCTGATGAATCCCATACACTAGAACGAAACGCCCGTCCAGTGCTTCCAGGTTTTTTCTAACAGTGGTCGTCTAACAATGATTCATTCATGATTTCAAGGTTAAACTAACATTTCTCTGAATGATTTAGTCTAAAATCACAATGTTTGTGCATATTATTTTGTCTTCAAAATTGAACAAAAGATGATTAAAATCTCAAGATTATTTTAGGTGTCTTTAGAGAAGAGAGAAAAAACTGAAAATCCAATCGTATAATGAGTTCATTGCTGAAAAAAAGTCAACATTTTTTCTCTTCAAATCTATCTCCACTCTTTTTTTTAGTCTCACTTGACAAATCACATAATCGAATCACGAAAACAAATACACAACTCTTGATCTTCTACTTCTTCTACTTCTCTTGAAATTGAATTCTCATTGAGATGTTTGCTGTTGTTATTTTTTGATTTGATAATTTATGACATTTCGATCATAGTAATTTTAATCTCTCTCTCTCTCTCACTCACTCACTCTCTTGCTCACTCATTCACCGGAATCATTCAAGCGTTCAATGTTTTGATTATTATTAATATTATTATTCCATACGAACAATAGTTGTTTTACTAAAATAAAAATTAAAAAAAATAATGAAATACCCGGTAAAATTGAATAGTTAATAAAATGTAACATTATTTCATCAAACGAGACATTAGATGATTGTGATATTTTAGTCTGTTTCAAGTGTTCTTGATACAAAAAAATGTATAGTTTGTGTGATAGGGGGATAAAGGATAATAATGATAATAATCATCAAAACATTGAATCGTAGTCAATGGTCAATTTGTGTTTGTTTAATCAGAGAAAAACAATTAATGATTTGAAATGATTTCCATTTTATGTTGTGAAGTAATGTGAAGTGGGTTTTCAAAATTGTATGCATGGGGCATGAAGATGTTTTGGAGCACGTTAACACCTTTACATATATGGGCAGCATCATCGACAATCAAGGTGGATCCGATGCAGATGTGAGGGAGCGGATTGCCAAAGCAAGGGTTGCATTTCTACAATTGAAAAATATCTCGAACTACAAAAATCTTTCAACCGAAACCGAAATCATCATTTTCAGTACAAATTTCAAGACAGTTCTACTGTATGGAGCGGAAACTTGGAGAAATACGAAAGCCATCATCGAGAAGATACAAGTGTTTATGAACAGTTGTCTACGCAAAATACATCGGATTCGTTGGCCAGACACCATCAGCAACAACGTACTGTGGGAGAGAACAAACCAGATCCTAGTGGAGGAGGAAATGAGGAAGAAGCGGTGGAGTTGGTGGATAGGACACACACTACGTAAAGCACCTAACTGCGTCACAAGAAAAGCTCTCACATGGAACCCTCAGGGCAAAAGGAAAAGAGGAAGGCCAAGGAATACATTACACCAAGAAATAGAGAAAGATATGAGAAGAATGAACGAAGATTGAACAGAACTGGATGGGAAGCCCAGGACAGAGTTGGTTGGAGAGAACTGGTTGGTGACGTATACTCGAATGAGGGGTAACAGGCGTAAGTAAGTAAGTATGGGGCTATAACTTACTTGATTGTATAAACAGTGAAGCGATATTTCTCTGCTTAAAGTACCTGAAACACCCTAAGGACTATGGTTTGATTTGTAAGACAGACAAGATTTGTGTGAGTAGTTTTGAATGTAGTCGTCGTCACCCGTTTACTTTAACCTTCTTGCATCCGGTGTCAACAATCTATGAAATAAGGTGAGACATACTGTTTTTTTATGGCCGACCATTGATAACCTTATGCTTTCATTGTGAGAAGACAGAATCGCCGAAGATCTTGGTTACACAAAACGAAACATTTTACTAGTGTTGTAGTGAATGAGAACACAGGTGGGGCAACCGAATTGATTTAACGAAAATTACAGAGTTACTCAGTAAAATCGGACAACCATATCGTAAATCGTTCATTTGCAAAATATCAGTTCATCATATCGAACTGGACTGCTCCTGTTGCCAAATATCAATCCATTGTCACTATTCATGCGTTTCATACAAATTCCATTGTTTTCTAACTCTTCCTTTCTTTATCTTCCCACCATATTATGCTACCAGACTTTACGTTGACACTCACGTTATATACTACTTATAAGTAGTTCGCACCACAGTGTTACGTCTCAGTACAGTTAGCAGTATGATTTTGTCAACACACTTTAAGTTTCTGTCTTCCCCTGTTACCATTCTTCAACTAATATATTTGGCTTGATAATACCTAATAATAATAATAATAATAATAATAATAATAATAATAATAATAATAATAATAATAATAATAATAATAATAATAATGGTAAACTCTTAATTATAGAGTTCTCAAATCATGAATCAATCACCATTAGATCACCATTAGAAATTTGGAATTCGACATTAACACCGTTACATGCCGCCGGCTCACTAGTTCAGAAGTAAGGTGTTCGTGCGCTAAACCGAAGGTCCTTGGTTCGAATTCTAGAGTCGTGAATCTATCTGACACATCTCAGCGAGTTGGTATTCTCTCTGAAACTTGAAACGCCCATCATATTAATCAGTTAACTGCTGACTCAAATAACCAACAAAAATGTTCTAAACTTCATCTCATTGCAGAAGCTAGTAGCGACTATGTGAGTCATGCTATGGCATTCGAAAAGATCAGCACAAGGTTCGAATCTTGTACTTACTTACTTACGCCTGTAACCCCCAGTGGAGCATACGCCGCCCACCAGTTCTCTCCAACCTACTTTGTCCTGGACTTCCTTCTCCAGTTCTGTCCAATCTTCGTTCATTCTTCTCATATCTTTCTCTATTTCTTGGTGTAATGTATTCCTTGGCCTTCCATGTGAGGGCTTCTCTTGTGACGCAGTTAGGTTCTTTTTGCAGTGTGTGTCCTATCCACTAACTCCACCGCTTCTTCCTCATTTCCTCCTCCACTAGGATCTGGTTTGTTCTCTCCCACAGTACGTTGTTGCTGATGGTGTCTGGCCAACGAATCCGATGTATTTTGCGTAGACAACTGTTCATAAACACTTGTATCTTCTCGATGATGGCTTTCGTATTTCTCCAAGTTTCCGCTCCATACAGTAGAACTGTCTTCACATTTGTTTTGAAAATGATGATTTTGGTGTTGATTGATATTTGTTTGTAGTTCCAGATATTTTTCAACTGTAGAAATGCAGCCCTTGCTTTACTGATCCGCGCCTTCACATCTGCATCGGATCCACCTTGATTGTCGATGATGCTGCCCATATATGTAAAGGTGTTAACGTCCTTCAAGGCATCTCCATCAAGAGTGATTTGGTTGGTGCATGTTGTATTGCATCGGAGAATTTCGCTTTTTCCTTTATGTATGTTGAGACCTACTGCTGCGGAGGCTGCGGCTGCACTGGTCATCTTCTCTTGCATTTGTTGTTGCGTGTGCGATAGAAGAGCCAAGTCACCTGAGAAGTCCAGATCGTGGTAGTGTTTCGTTCTCTGAGCTGGTTGTTTTGGTTGTGGAGCTTTCTCCAACATCTCAAAGTCCAGATCGCCCAACTGCGTCCTAACTGTCCACTGAATACCATCCTTCCCTCCAGATGTTGACGTTTTCATACTCCAGTCGATGACCAGGAGGAAGAGATAGGGTGAGATTGAGCAACCTTGCCTGACACCGGTCTTCACCTCGAAAGAGTCTGTTAGCTGTTTTCCGTGAACGATTTTGCAGTTGAGTCCATCATAAGAATTCCGTATGATGTTAACTATTTTCTCAGGCACACCGTAGTGTCGAAGAAGCCTCCACAGTGTTTTCCTATCCACGCTATCGAATGCCTTGTAGTGAATGTCAACTCAGTAAGATGTGTCAGGTACATTCAACTGACTTGTCTCTAAATCTAACGAAACGCACATCTTAGTATTTTATTTTCATTGCTAGCCACTATCCACTTCGTCTGAATAAAGCTTACAAACTGTAGACCATTTCCAGGCAATCCTCCAAAATAACCAATTTTTTCCTTTGCCATTCATCTTATCACACATGTTTATTCTTTTTTATTCAACTTCTTAATTTTTTCTACACCATATTCAAGGTTTCATCAATCAATCGTGTTTTAAGAAATGTTTGTAATGACAATCAATTACCGCTTCAATTAGGATCAAATCTTTCACAAACAGAACATGACCATAATCCTTCTAATCCTATTCATCATACATTAAATTCATTGATAAACAGACAAACAATCAATTCACATGACCATTTATTACATCATCGCAACAATCATACACAGAGCCAATTCAATTTACCGCTAAATCCAATGCCAATGATCAATTTTCAATCACCACATTTTAATCATTTCATGAATCAATCACCCATTGTAGATGATAAACAAAACTATCCACTTTCTTTAACAATGAATCATGTCGTAACAGCACATGGATTAAATATCTCATCGCCTAGATTATCATCATCATCACCATCACAAACTTCACCAATTCGATTTCATCATCCAAATGTCACAATCACTTCTTCTCATCAACCATCATCAGCTGCAGCTGCTGAAGCTGTTGTTGGTGGTCATCAACAAAACTATCCACCATCTTCCGTTGTACATCCTAATCGTTTATGTGAACTGAATGGTATGCGTAATGTTGACATTGTAACAACCACTACAACTACCACGACAGTGACTACTATTACTGCTTGTAGTGGCAATACTACTAACAGTAATAATATAAGTAGTAGTAGTAGTAATAGTAGTAATAGTGGTAATAGTGAAATGTCACCAACCTTTCAAACACCAAACACTTGTATGTATGATACATTCTCCAATTTCTTACATCATACTAATTGGCCATCATGGTGCAATCATAATAGCTCAGCGTCATTTTCATCAATCTCCACTAGTAATCATCGGACACCGCCGATTTCAGGAGATATGAATGTGAATGTAAGAAATTATACTACTACTAATAATAATAATGATAATAATTGTTTAACAGAAATGAATGAATTCAGAGAACATTTAAATTATGCGACTATATCAAGTTTCAATGTGTCCAATGGTATAGATTTTGTTCAATTTCCACAATCTCATGCAAATATCGATGAGAATAACACTAAAACTAATCTGAATGATAATAATTATGCCAAAACGAATCATGATTTGTCATTATTCATGAGAAATTCAACAAAATCCAATGATGGACCGACTGAAGCGGAAATTGATTTAACTTCAAAATCAAATGATCAATATCATCATCAATTCGATGAGAAATCCACGCTGATTAATCGTAAAACATCTTTAGCATCAATTGAATTTCATCAAGACAATCATCATCGTTGCAATCAGATAGAAAAAAATGAATTAACACGATCAGGTAAGAAGGTGGATAATGAAAATGTAATTTACTTACTAACTATCTTACTATCTTACACCTTTCACGCCTAAGTGAGCATGGGCTGACGACCAGTGAATTATTTTCCTGGTTAATGAGTTGGATTTCTTTGAGATGAGGTCACTAATCCTATGCTCAAACCTCCCCTTTATACTGGCTTGGGGTCCACAGTAAAACTAGAAATTCTTCGCGTGGAATTAGTGCGCGAATCTTCTCCGACTTCTAGTGGGAAGACGTGACCAGTGAAGTTCAACCTGTTCGGGTGTAGACAGTAACTACCGAAGACTGTGTGTATGAGGTTGCGCAACTCCGTGAATTGATCAAGTTAGACATTAATTAACACCGTTAGATACCGGTTCAGTGGTCCGATGGTTAGGCGTTCGCGCACAATACCGAAGGTCGTGGATTGGAATCCTGTGGGTTGCAGGAGTCGTGGATGCGCATTGCTTAGGAATCCCATACCAGGACGAAACGGCCGTCTTTCAGTGCTTCCAGGTTTCTGATGGTGGTCTAACAATGATCGATTCATGGTTTCAAAACATGTGTAACTCAACAATCTTCACAACCCCGTAATGTAAACTTTTTTTAACAAGTTTATTTTCTACGGAATAGGTGTTGATAACCCTATGCTCAACTCTCCTTATCTATCTGAGGTTAGGACTAGATAGTAATCGTAGAAGGGTTCTAGGTGGAGAAGCTATGACTGCTAGTCGGCGGCCTCTGCTCCATTGAGGGTAACAGGCGTAAGTAAGTAAGTAAGTAAGGTAAGCCTCCTGTTGAAATCAATTCATGATGCGATTTTTATTTTGAAAAACTTATGGCATTAAATTTTCGTGATTCTCTAATATTCAAAATAACATTCATAACGAATATATTCTGAATTACAAATAACTACAGAATGTAATCCAGTTCACATATTTGATCTGATCATGTTATGCTCGTCTCGAAGTATGCTTAAACTATTCGCCATAGTCGAATAACGAGAACAAAACAATGAACCAGCGTCCAGGTAGGCTACTGTGATCCCTTGACCAAATTGTACCAGCAAGAACTCTTGATATAGCGTATTCTACAAACACCCAACCAGCACACAACTCTCATTTATTTATACTCCATAGAGATGTCCTTGGAACAGTCACAAAAATTGCACACACTATAATGACACAGTAACCAATCACGGACAAGGATTTTCCTGGTGGGAAATGTGATCTCAAGGTCAATTGATCTGCTGATGAAATAAATCTGAAATAAAGATATTTATCAAGTGAGTTCTAGGGATCTAACATCCCCAACAGATCAATACAATGTATTAGGCATTACCTTTAAATTATGAACCGATCAATGTTAGACAAACATTAGAAACCTAAAAGAACTGGACGACTTTTCCGTTTTAGTTTGGGACTCATCAGCAGTGAGCAATCATAACACCCACAAGTGAGACTCAAACCTACCACTCTGTTAGTTTTGCTTGTGAACGCTTAACTTTTTCTACACTGAGCTGCGATCCGACATTGTTAATCAATCAATCAAAAATATTGCTCGACCATTATCTATTGTCTTCGACAGGTAACGGTAGAAATGCCTCAGCCATGGCTCCTTACTGGAATAGGAGATTGTTGAGTTTCAGTTGAAATCATAAACCTTAGATTAATAAATTATCATCTAAAGATTTTCACATTGTAGATATCAAACTTTTGGCATAGACGCTACATGAAATAGACTAGTGTTACGTTCGTCACTAGGTACGCTTGAAGCTATTACGAGTTCACCTTAGTCGATAAACGCGAACGAGACAATTACCGGCGTCCAGATATGCTACCTTGAATCCCAAACTGTAAAACATGAGACTTGGTAAGCGTAGAAAGTATATTCTACAAACACCCAGCAACCACAATACAATCAAACACACAGCTCTCATTTATTTATATATACATACATAGTAACATCCTTGGGACAGTCACGAAAATAGCACACTGAAATACACAGCAGCCAATCACAGACATAGATTTTTCTGGTGGGAAATGAAATCTCAAGGTCAAGTGATCAGCCCATGCTCACAAACGTGAAATGCAAAATAAGGCATTTATCAAACGAGTTCTGGGGATCTAAAATCCAACACAGAAGAGTAGATTCAACTAGATTTCTACTACATGTTAAGGAACCTAATAGATTTTTAAATTCAGCTTAAACCGTTAAAGATGTTCTATTCTCTTTTTCAAATCACAATAAATGAGACAGTTTTTTGGATTCAGGATTTAAAGGGTCAAATAAACTGATCTGAAACTTAAGACATCTGTAACAACATCTTTAATTCTATAAATTTATCAATATGAAACTCTCACTGAAAACCTAGAACCTCAGTGGATGGCCTTTTCATTTATTTAGTTGATTAAAAAAAAATCGGTATAAATTTATTCGATATTTTTTTTGTGTTATTACAAACATAAATCAATTTTAAAATTATTGTACATTGAACAAGTTATATTCATTATCGTGTTCAATTGTCAATAGATTTAAATTAAAATTCTACTTGTTACAATTCAGATAAACAAAGAATATGGAATTTTTTTTGAAAGTTGAATTCAATTTTGATGAATAATTTCTTGAGTTTTCATATTAAACTTAATTAAATATTATTTTTATCGTTTTTTGTTTTAAATTTCTCTTGATCAATGTACAATGTCATTATTATTATTATTGTTGTTGTTTTATTCAAATGACAGATCCAATCATTCATTCAACAATTGAAAATTATTTAGAACAATCAAAACAAACTATGGAATCATTCAAAGTGTACAATTGCTTGGATCAAACTAGTTTACAACAAAAAATTCAATGTATGAAACAACAGTTTTGCAATTCACATTATAATCCAACTGATGCTACTACTACTACTAATACTACTAATACTACTGATAATAATAAAAGTAGTAGTAGCAGTAGTGGTAGTAGTACTGATACTCTTACAAGTAGTAGTAGTAGTAGTAGTACAACCATTACAACAAATTCTACCAAGAATGATATGATTCGGTTTTATTCTACACCAATGGAATTATTAATGAAAACTTATAGTAAAGAGAATTGTTCAAAATTCGCAGTAAAACAAAGCACATTATTACACGGTGCTGCATATTCGCAACAGCTTGAGAATGATTGTTCAGAAATCAATAATGCTGACAGTAATCATACACAAACTGATATATTATCACCAATTATGAGTACTGACTCTATTCATTATCAAAATAATAATAGTAATAATAACGGTTACAAATCAAATAAAGAAATAAATTTCAATGAAAATAAAAAACTCAGCCGAAATCGAACAACATTTACATCAGAACAATTAGAAATACTTGAAGAAGGTAAGTAGTTTCATTAAATAAAAATTAAAAAAAAACTATTTATAATCATACAATCAATTATAAGAATAAGAAGAATTATGTACTGATTGGTGATTACTTACTTACTTACTTACTTACTTACTTACTTACTTACTTACTTACTTACTTACTTAATTACTTACTTATGCACTTACTTACTTACTTACTTACTTATGCACTTACTTACTTACTTACTTACTTACTTACTTACTTACTTACTTACTTACTTACTTACTTACTTACTTACTTACTTACTTACTTACTTACTTACTTACTTACTTACTTACTTACTTACTTACTTACTTACTTACTTACTTACTTACTTACTTACTTACTTCGCCACTTACTTACTTACTTACTTACTTACTTACTTACTTACTTACTTACTTACTTACTTACTTACTTACTTACTTACTTACTTACTTACTTACTTACTTACTTACTTACTTACTTACTTACTTACTTACTTACTTACTTACTTACTTAATTACTTACTTATGCACTTACTTACTTACTTATTTATGCCGCCGACCAGCATTCTTCAACCTACTTTGTCCTGAGCCTTCCTTACTTGCTTTGTTCAATTGTTATTCATTCTTCTCACTGTCTGTTTCCTTTTCTCGGTGTTATATGTTCCTCGGCATACCTCTTCTCCGTTTGCCTTGAATATTTCTGGTGAGGGTTTGTCTTGTTGGATGCAGTTGGATGCTTTCTGCAATGTGTCCTATCCATTTCCAGCGCTTCTTCTGGATTTCTTCCTAAACTGGAACCTGGTTTATTTTCCCCCAAACAGGGGTTTATACCGGTAGTGTGGATTGCTGATTGACTTTATAATTGTTGGAGACGTTAGATCCCCAGAATTCACTTGATGAAGGTTCTCATTTCGGATTACCCGTGTTTCCGAGCATGGGCTTGTCAGTTGACCTTGAGATTACATTTCCCACTCGGAAAATACTTGACTGTTATTGGTTGATGTATTATTTTAGTACGCTATTTTTGTGACTCTCCCAAGGACGTTTATGTATAAATAAACTCAATGTGTGTGTTTGTGAAAATTCATATTTTCTGGGTGCTTGTAGAATACACTTTCTACGCTATTTCAAAACTTTTGATATCATTGTCAAGGTCGAGGACAGTTGAATCAGAATAGTCTGGTTCACCTAAGAATATGGAAATTAGATGAAAGATTAATTTCATAGCACATTCAAATTGGAGTTGGATTTCAGGCTACTAAAATATCATTTACGGGGTTCTTGTGTGAAGCTGTGACCAGTCGAGATCAATCTGTGTTAGGTGTGGTACAGTTATATGCTGTAGTCAATCGATGAAGGTTCCACACTGCATACTGACTCAATGGTAAGGAGATCAATTGTTTGCACGCATGACTGAAGACCCCATGTTCGATTTCCACCTAAGGAGTCGCGGATGCATATTTCTGAGGAGTCCAATACTAGGACCGAACGGCTGTCTTGCTTTTGTGCCAGAGATCAAAGGTCCTGGGTTCGATAACCATGAGTAGCGGTCATGTATGTGCACCCGGGGTTAATATAACTTAAAAGTTATAGAAAATTATTTGATCATAGTTTTCAAGATTTGTTGTAGACTGCTTCCATGTTTTTTCCCAGTGTAGAACTCGTCAGTAGTGCGTATCCACGACCTTTCAGAGGAGAATCGAGCTCCTGACCTTCAGCCTCGTGTGAGAACCTTCAACCTCTTAACTAATGAGCTGGCTTGCAAGCTCATGGATAAGCACTGTTGACAAGTTCAAGATTAGAACGAAACAGATGTCCACTGCTTCCAGGTTTCCTTCCGATGGTACAACTCAACAATCTCTATAACCTTCATACTGATAATTACATATCCTGTTTATAATATTAACTAATATTCTTCTGTTTGTTTTTTCTCTAAAGAATTTGAACGTACACATTATCCTGATTTAATGATTCGTGAACAGTTAGCAGAATCTATGCTAATCCCAGAATCACGTATACAAGTATGGTTTTCAAATCGTCGGGCGAAATGGCGACGTGAAGGTAAAGAATTATTAACTTTAACTAAACAAGACAAATCAAATTCACCAAGTTTAGATGAAAATCAAACTAATGATCAACATTATACTACTACTTATTCAATTATAAATAAATCTCAAGATTTTATTGTAAAAAATAATGATTATGATAATAATAATAAATTAGATCAATTAAATTTAATTAAACAAAAATTGAATTTTGAACAACCACAAATGAATTCAACGAATTTTATTGAACAAAACCATATTGATTCATTGTCTACATATCCGAATTATCATCATGATCATCATCATCATCATCAGTTATTGATCGGACAAAATAAACAGCAACATGAACAATTGGATGAGGCTAGAAAAGAACCGATCAATATGAACTGGACTTATATGTCTACACCGATCATACATCAAGAGGTAAATACTATGTCACATCAAGAATGAAAATGTCGAAACTGGTTTAAATTTTAATGTTTATTTCAATTTGATGAAGTTGGAAACTGTCAGTAGACTTTACAAACATACAGACTGTTATTTATATATATTATAAGTTGAATACATAAATTATACATTTTTTTTTAAACCATGAATTGATCAATGTTAAACCAACACCATTAGAAACCTGGAAGCACTGCTTAGACGGCCGTTTCATCCTAGTGTATGGGACTCCTCGGCCGTCCAGTGCTTCCAGGTCTCTTCTAATGGTGGTCTAACATTGATCGATTCATGGTTTCAAAAAATGTGTAACTTAACAATATTTACAACAACCCCTGTAATGTAAATTACCTGTACTCATTAGTGACTAGCTTCGTGAGGAATCTTCTCCGAGTTCTAGTGGGAAGACATGACCAGTGAAGTTCAACCTGTTCGGGTGTAGACAGTAACTACCGAAGACTGTGTATGAAGTTGCGCAACTCCGTGAATTGATCAAGTTAGACATTAATTAACACCGTTTGATACCGGCTCAGTGGTTCGATGGTTAGGTGTTCGCGCACAATACCGAAGGTCATGGGTTCGAATGCTGTGGGTTTCAGGAGTCGTGGATGCGCCGCACTGCTGATGAGTCCCATACCAGGACGAAACGGCCATCTTTCAGTGCTTCCAGGTTTCTTCTAATGGTGGTCTAACATTAATCGATTCAAGGTTTCAAAAAATGTGTAACTCAACAATCTTCACAACCCCGTAATGTGATTACATAAATGTATACTTGATAGATAAGTATTTCAAGAGAATATAAATGACCAGCCAATGTTAGGCGGAAAACGAATGAAACCCAGGAAGCATTGGTTAATTGCTTCATCCGAAACAGAGGAAGCACTGTACAGTGAACAACAGTGATCCCACCTAGGATTGAATTTAGGATGTTCAGGTCACCTAGTGACTGCTAAACTCATAGCTACGGATTTATGTGTGTAACTGTCATTGATTTTCAATCCAATGTGTAACCAACTTTGTGATGCTTCATACCTGACATCGCTCTGACTTCTATGTCCCCTATATGGCTGGACATATCTGCGAAGTTCAAAACTTGGGCAAAACACTTGTCTAGTGTCTATTCCTTCTCAGTAGTTATCTAACTGAATTGCAGTGAAATTTCAATTTTTTCAGATATGATGAATCGATACAAATATTCACGTTGACCCAGTGGTTCGATGGTTAGGTGTTCGCGCACAATACCGAAGGTCCTGGATTCGAATCCTGTGAGTTGCGAGAGTCATGGATGCGCATTGCTACTGATGAGTCCCATGCCAGGACGAAACGGCCGTCCAGTGCTTCTAGCTATCTAATGATGGTCTAACAATGACTGATTGATGATTTCAAATGTGTAAAAACACAAACCTCCAACACTCTAACTGAACATATTGTTATCGGAGAATTCATTCACATAGTCGTAATTACTGTCAATATCATAATCGCACCAAAATACCCTAGTACGATTGAGAGTATGAACAGTTCGCCCTCTCCCACTCTCTCTTACTCCAAATCCTCTCATATTACCATGACAATAAAGCGGCGAAACCCTATTCACTGAATTCCTGCATCAAGAGTCTTAAACCAGGTTGGTAGGTATGGAGGGTTCTCAAAACGAAGTTGAGAAACTATAAATCTAAGCCAATGGTGTACATATGGGCTCCAGTATCCTGATGAAACGAATAAGTCTATTGTTGGTCACTTGTTTCCCATGGGAGTGCATCTCATGACTGCCTTGTGGACTGAGCCTCTTGATCAAAAGTTCACATAATGGGTCGCTAAAAAAACCATCCATGTCCAGGCAGTGAGTTTTCCAACGCATTCACATAGTCAGTAATTTGTATGGCTTATAAATATTTAGGTGTCCTTCTGTATCAATAATTATGTGCATAAATAACTGATGTTAACTACAGATAGAAGTATTTCCGATAAAACCTAAAAAATCGGACAAAAATCAATCCTTCAGTGTACTGACGAGTTTACAGCTGTTCTCTGGTAAGGATGTCTTAACAAGTTGATTTTCTACAGGATAAGGTCACTAACCCTATGCCCAACCCTACTCCTTTATCCGTTCGTGTTTAGAACTGGCAGTTATAATCTTAGAAGCAATTCAAGCAGAGTTTTGTTCTCTAGCTAATCAAACCTTATATTTTCAACTTTCTATGATAATTTTTTTTAAAAAAATGATTGTTTCTCTCTCTCTCTCTCTCTCTCTCTGTTTTCTTAACTACTTCAAAAGCTTTCATCATCAAAAAAACTTTTCAATTATACTGAACAATATAATTCATTACATGATATTTCAAATCAATCATCCAATCAAATTAATCATATAACTGAGAATAATAACACTGAAACTTATACAATTTTAAATAATGTCACACGTTTACATTCAATGCCCAATAATAATCATTTAAACAAATTAAAACATTCACATAGTTTCAATGAACATGACACGTTATCAACAAAAGTCAATTTAAACAATACTCTTCTATCATCAATGAATCATTATCATGATATTGAACGAATTGATCATACAGATCAAAATTTAAAATCAAACTGTTTGTCATATAGTAATAGTAATCATTTGTTAGAAACGATCAATACTGAGAATAATACAACAAATAGTATAAGTAGTTTAATGAGTAGTAGTAGTAGTAGTAGTAGTAGTGGTAGTAGTATACACACAACAAATATCAGTGATTCATTTGACATAACACATAATCCAGATAGACAAATCACTACAGAATTAATTATTGATAAAACCCAATCTAACCATTTAGATTATCAATCGATATGGTTGAATTCTTCTACGGATCAAATACAAAATTATAAAATTGAATCAAGCAATCCTACATTATGGTATGGAATGACTTATCCTCAGCCAAGTACCTTATCCACAGATTCTGGTATTGGTTCTCCGCCGCCTCCGCAACCCACATCGTCATCATCATCTTCTCTACCTCCTATTGGATATGACAGTAATCGACCGGCGATCGATCATCATCATCATCTATTGCCCCATCATCTACTTCCTGATACCTCATCGCATCTATCTTCTATGGCGGTAGCTGCGGCGGCAGCTGTTGTAGCTTGGAATAATACCAATAATTCACATGTTGTTGTTGCACATACTCAAAATGAATATGATTCGCTGTTGAATTCCAATGAATCAACACCAATCAATACGAATGATTATTTAGATAGAATTCCTGCTGAATTCAATGTCCACACAACTACATCGCCATCATCGTCCATGTGTTGTCCACTGACGCTATCGTCTTCATCTTCGTCTTCTACTTCTTCGCAACTAGCTTCGACAACTTCATTATCACAATCAGCCGCTTCGTTATATTCTACACATAACAATAATCATAATCATAATCATAGTAATAATAGTAATACTACTGGTAATTTTGATTTAAGTAGTTTAGTTAGTCAAACATCGATTGTCAACAGTAATCCTCCTCCTCCTCCTAACCATAATAATAATAGTAATAATTATTATGATTTTTCACGTTATTTTCATTAATTAAAAAAAAAAGATTATCCGAAAAAAATATCAATAAATCGATTAAATTGAATGGTAGTATGATTTGATTTTATTCTGATTGTTCTTACTTGATTACTTAACTACCAGCTACTTCTGATATGATTTTTTTGTTTAAAAATGCTCAACTATTACTCTGATGTTTTAATTTACACATTAACAATATATAACACAGTTTGTTTTTTCCGGGTGTTTTGTATACAAATTTTTTGAAGATTTGCCCAATTATCATCTATCTATGTATGTGAATGTTTAGGAATAATGTGGAAATATGTTGTGTTGTAAAGTTATGTTGTAAAAACATAAGCTATTTTATTGTAAAAAAAAATAGAATAACATTTTGTACATAAAAATTGTGATACAGTAATAATGATAATAATAATAATGATATTTGTGGAAATAAATATGATTACAGGGGTTGTGAAGATTGTTGTTAAGTTACACATGTTTTGAAACCATGATCTGATCAATGTTAGACCACCACCATTAGAACAGACCTGGAAGCACTGTTTAGACGGCCGTTTCGTCCTGGTATGGGACTACTCCTCAGCAGTGCGGCGCATCCACGACTCCTGCAACCCACAGGATTCCAATCCACGACCTTCGGTATTGTGCGCGAACGCCTAACCCTCAGACCACTGAACCGGTATCAAACGGTGTTAATTAATGTCTAACTTGATCAATTCACGGAGTTGCGCAACCTCATACACACAGTCTTCGGTAGTTAATGTCTACACCCGAACAGGTTGAACTTCACTGGTGGTCACGGTTTCCCACTAGAACTCGGAGAAGATTCCTCACGTAGCTAGTCACTAATGAGTTCAGGCAATTTGTATTACAGGGGTTGTTGTAAAGATTGTTAAGTTACACATTTTTTGAAACCATGAATCGATCAATAAATATGAGTCTGTTTAGTTTTTGTGAATCATAGACAAGGGCATTGATTGTACTGTTGTCGTTCAAGTCTCATTAAAAATAGAGACATTTTTTTTTAGTGACAAGAGATGAAGAGTAGCAAGTTATGGAAACAAGGTTATGCGTTTTATATTATTATTTGGGACTACTAGTTTGTGTTCGACTGGATTGAAACTGTATTATAGAATTGATATTCATTAGAGGAAGTTTTGTTAATTAAGTAATGTCGAGACAATCTGCACAGTGATGTATATGTCGAATGAGACTGATCAGACGCTGACAAAATTCAGAGTCTTCTGACCACCCTAAGAAACAATGCAAGAATGTTCGGAATGCGATTCTCCCCTTCGAAATGCAAAATGTTACCTCAAGATTGGCTTATATCGGCACCTGAACTAGTGATAGCGAGTGAAGTAGTTGAACGTGTAGAGCGCCCCACTTATCTTGGAAGTCTCATCAGTGCTAATAGCCTGGTGACTGACGAAATCTCAGCACGGATGCACAAAGCTCGATCAGCCTTTGCCAACCTGTGTCACTTATGGCGAAGGCGAGATATCCGTTTTCTGACTAAAGGACGAGTGTACTGCGCATTAGTTCTCTCTGTCCTACTTTATGGCTGTGAAACACGGCTAGTCAGAATAGAAGATATTCGTAGGTTACGAATTTTCGATCATAAGCGTCTTCGAAACATTGCTCGTGTGTCATGGGACGATTGAGTTGACAATGCTGTTGACAGGAAACGGGTGCTAAGTAAGAATGGCAGATCAATAGATGAAGTGCTGAAACTTCATCAGTTGAGGTGGTTGGAACATGTATTACGTATGCCCAACAACCGACTGCCTCGAGGAGCTATGTTTTGTGGTGTAAGAGTAGGTCGGAAAAAAGTTAGGGGCGGCCAGAACAAAACATGGCACAAATCTATGAAGTCATTGACAAGTGGACTTAGTCAAGTTGGTAGCAGTCGACTACCTGGTTGTGGTCAGCGAGATGATAATAATCAATGGTTAGATACCCTGAATGACATGGCTCAAAACCGTTTTCAATGGCGCAGGTGTATACATTCTTTGGGTACTCTCAAATCCTGACCTTCTGAATTCCTCATCACCTTTATCTTCATTCTTTTAAGTTTCTTTCACTAGATTCTACTTCTTGAATCATATAGTCGAACCCAAAAATTTCTGATTATTAGTAATGCTTCTTCTACTACACCTACTACAATGGGATTTCAAGTGACATTCGCATCTCCGAGCAACTTGAAATGATGTACGTATGTATGAAGTTCGATGTTGTTTTTTGACTTGACTTACTAACTGATCAGTTGTAGTTGCAGACATTAATACCTTTATGTGTGCGATTGATAATCAGAATGAAGACTGATTAACATGAGGTGAGACAGAGAGAGAGAGAGAGACATCAGTACAATCAGATATCAGGAATTACGTAACATTTTATTTTAGGGTTGTAGACATTCAGTTGAATTTCATCCAAATCATGAATTGATCAGTGTGTTATACAAACATTAGAAACATGTAAGCACTGCATGGTCGCTCCATCCTACTATGAAACTGATTAGCAATACATATCCATGACACTCGCTAGTAGAAATTGAAACCAAGACCTCCAATCTCGTGAGCGAACTATTAACCAGTAAACCAATGAGCCGGTATCGGACCGAGGTAAAATCTAACTTGACTCAATACACGGTAGTACGCGATCACATCCACGAATTCTGTTTTTTTTAAGAATCTCATTCACAAAGATGGTCTATTTAATAAAACTTAAGGTTTTTAAAAATTTAGATTGCAAGAAGTCCAAAATATAATCACACGTTACACATAGAATGACCAAGAACCATAATATAGTTTGTTTTTAAGTCCTCATGAGCCAATAACATAGGCGGATCAGTCTGTAGGTTGGGTTAACATCGAAGATAACGGAGTATCCAAAATAAAACACATCTCGGAATTATGACGTAAATTCGAATCTGAAACCTTCAGGTTGGAAAATTAACCTTTCACAGCTATAAAAATAGAACTTATTAGGAATTTGGAAACCTAGAACTTGAGGAAGGAAAAAGGACAGATGCACCTGTGTCATTGAAGACGATGTTGAGCCATGTCATTCAAGTTCTCGAACCATCGGTAACTATTGTCTCGCAGACCCCAACCTACTAAGATGATCAACTCCAGTAGTCAATAACTCCATAGATTTTTGCTATGTTTTGGTTTAGTTGCCTATAGATTTCTTCCAACCTACTCCTACACTATAAAACATAGCTCGTTAAGGCAGTCAGTGGTTGGGCATACGCAACATATATCCCAAAGGACAAAATGACAGATGGAAAAAAACCAAACATCATCTACAAAATAAACAACTGTTCAGTTTGTGTAAAATACTACATAGGACCTCTTCAGCTCCGTTTACGTGAACATCAATTAGCAGTCAAACGCCATGACAACGCTTGGCTTATATCAATACACACCGACAATTATGGAAAACCGCACCCCAAACATGCTCGCATTGTTGCTTATGGTAGTCAGAAGACTCTGCATTTTGTCAGCGTCTTCACCGAATAGAACTATGTGTGTAGCTCAGGTGGTTGATTGTGGTGGTGGTGATTGGTTCTCTGAAGCGAAATCAAGCACAGGAACCAATAAACAGATCATCCTACCATACATCAAAGACATATCGGAGCACGACAGCACGACTACTGAAACCATTTGGAATAGGTGTGGCACACAAACCAACAGAATCACTTCAATCAATCCTGTGGAGACCAAAGGACAAAATGACAAAGGAAGAAAAACCAAATATCATCTACAAAATAAATTGCTGAGACTGTGAAAAACACTAAATAGTTCAAAAAGGATGACCTGTTCAGCTTCGTTTACGTGAACACCAATTAGCAATCAAACGACGCGACAACGCTTTGCTCATATCAATACACAACGACATTTATGGACACACATTCGATTGGGACAATGTGAAAATACTGGATAGGGGGAGGACAAAGCACAGAACAATAGGGAATTTTTAGAGGTTTGGTACTCAGGTCAATCAGCAATCAACAAACACATCGAAATCGACCCAATTTACCAACCAATCATAAAATATCATAGGCGTGCATAGGATCAAGAAACAGATCAAAAGGAGGATATACAATCAAAACAAAGGTGCAAACAACGACAGGTTTAAGGTGAACAACAACCAATCAAGATCGAGGTTAACAGAACAAACTACGAATCAACCGTGGAGAAATTCAAATACTTCACTTCTTCGACTGGAAGTTTGTGAAACTGATGATGATTTTGTGTTCAGAAGAAGAAGAAGAAAAACAATGAAAGCTCCACAACTAAACCATATCCAGTTCAGTGAACGAAACTCTACCGTAATCTTCCACCTCAGCTACATATTCTCCCCACCATCTCAAAACCTCATCGAGTTTTACTCACTTCACATAACAATCGTTCAACTCTACTAAAAATACTTCTGCATTACGGGATTGTGAAGATTGTTAAGTTACACATTTTTGAAACCATGAATTGATCAATGTTAAACCACCACCATTAGAACAGACCTGGAAGCACTGTATAGACGGCCGTTTCGTCCTGGTATGGAACTCATCAGCAGTGCGGCGCATCCACGACTCCTGCACCACACAGGATTCCAATCCACGACCTCCGGTATTGTGCGCGAACACCTAACCATCGGACCACTGAACCGGTATCTAACGGTGTTAATTAATGTCTAACTTGATCAATTCACGGAGTTGCGCAACCTCATACACACAGTCTTCGGTAGTTACTGTCTACACCCGAACAGGTTGAACTTCACTGGTGGTCACGTCTTCCCACTAGAACTCGGAGAAGATTCTTCACGAAGCTAGTCACTAATGAGCACAGGTAATTTGCATTGTAGGGGTTGTTGTAAAGAATGTTAAGTTACACATTTTTGAAACCAGGACGAAACGGCCGTCCAGTGCTTCAAGGTTTCTAATAGTGGCCTAACATTCATCGATTCACGGTTTCAAAAATGTGTAAAAATACTTCTAACCGAAAGGTACTATT